ATGGAAGTTTTTCAATTTCAAGAAGTTCCATTTATTGACTGCTGTCAGTGTCAATGCTACTGATGTTATATTTAGGAAGCGGTCTCCTGTTCCAATGTGTTCAAGGCTACTCCCTACTTTCCCTTCTATTAGGTTCAGTGTAACTGGATTTATGTTGAAGTCTTTGATCCACTTGGGCTTGAGGTTTTACTCATACCATTTTTAAGTGGTGATTAATATTATAGTGTTACTCTTATGACTGGTTTGTCATGTTTAAATAGAGACCACAATAAGTATCGCCTACTTAATAGAGCAATTATATATTATCCCCCCAAAGTAAAGCTACTTTCCTTTTTTCATTTTGAAATCTGTAGACTTGTTAAAAATAATTTTCATATAATATATTTTGAACATGTTTTACTTTCTCCTATTATCTTTCCAAACCTCCTTCTCTTCCTTCCTTCCTAACTTTATGTTCTCCCCTTCTACTTCCTTCTCCCAATTTTCAAATAAAACCACAAAACTAAACACACACACACACACACACACACACACACACACACACACACACACACACACCAAACCCAATTGTTATATGAGTTCAAGTTGATCTTAATAATAAATAAGTCCCAGAGTCAGATACAGGGGTAAATGCTGAATGATCATAGAGACAATGGAGCAACCCACAGCCACACCTAATTTGCCAACTTCCCAGGCTAAAAGAGAAACGAGAGTAAGCTCCTGTCTCCTCCCATCTTATATTCCTCTCTCTGCCCAACCGTATTATTTCCTGTCTGTCTGTACATACCTCCAGACCTCTACGGTTTGCTAGCGGTTATCTCAGCCCTCTAGTCTTCAGTCAAGCTTTATTTCTTATAGTACAAACAATATATCACCACGCCCAATAAGGCTAAAAGTGCCAAAACTCAACAAATAGAACACAGTAAAAGAATGGAGTTTGTTTTGGGTTATTCAGCTACTCCTGGACAAAGGGCTTGTTTCCATTCCTAAGGATGTAGGAATGGAAACATAGATACACTCACTTGTCTATGAAGATGATAGTTTACTAATCTGTACTCAATTCACCCTCAAGGAGACCGTCTTTCTCTCTAGTATCTCCTGGAGATAGTGTTCTTTCATTATTACTTGCTGTATGTGGATGATGCTTTAAAAAGTTCCTTTGTGTTTTCATTCACCCATTAATACCCTAAATAACTTGAGTCTACAAGGGAAACACTGCAAAGGCAGATTCTATTTATGTGACTGTTTAGGCAATGAGAAACAGAATGCAAATTTAATCTTAATTAAGGCTGCTGATTAAAGATCCAAACAGGCAGTCTTATTTCTCTTGATTCCCTTGATAGTGAAATTGCATCAAGATACACATGAGAGGTGTAGGGAAATGTGAAGATGTAGGTGTGATTTAATGTATATTATTGACCTAAATATCAGAAAAAGTAGAGGGATATATTGAAAGTTTAAGTCCTAATTGCAATTTGCTGAAGTAATTACTCTGGACATGTTGGCCTGTTTCTTTAGTTATTTTTTTATTTTGCAAAACTTTGAAAAACATACTGTATGTCAGACTATAAATGACATTAACTGGAAATATGTAAAATAAACAACGTTCTTAAAGCATTACAATTTGTAGAGTTTTAATTTGTGGAATGTTTTGAAACCAAGAGCCATAAGAAAAAAGTCTAAAACAGTATAGTCTTCCTACTGTCGCAACTTAATTCAAACTTTTAAATGCTTTACAATGGAGATGGCAGTCTAAAAATACTCTGTATCACAGGAAGATTTCTTTTCCATAAGGTCATTGCTCCAACTCCTCTTTGTTCACATTTCACCCCCAATACACACACACACACACAAACACACACACACACACACACACACACACATTTCCCCTTCTCTTTTGCAATGTGTTTCCTATCAAGCAGATGGAGCTTAAAATTTCCCCAGCCCCTCACAAAACTGTTTCTCTAGCAACCTTCCCTAAAAGACCGATTTCAAAACAAGCAAAAATGTTCTTTAAATCCCCTGCTAATCAATCTGGCACTACAACCTCAAATGATAATGATTGTTATTATTTTGCTTAAAAAGAAAACCAAGTATACCCAAAGATATTTTAATGATAGCTGTGACACAGAGCTGAAAGGAATGGAGATTTGTCTAAACTGTTGCTTAAAAATAATCAATCAGTTTGAAAAACCTAAATTCATCTCCAGTTCAAACCACTGTATCATTTTTTTCCTCTTGCTGGCTTCTGGTCCCAACATTAGTTGGAAACAATTAATGATTAGGAGAGGTTCCAAGAGGTCAAGGTGCTATACCTATGACTGGAAGTATCTTCTAGAAACATAGGCATTTAATTCCTTTCTATGAGCCTCATGATAATTAATTGAATTAGATGACTGCAACCCAAAGTTATTCATTGTTCCAGGAGTTTGAAATTATCAAAAGCAAATCGGATATCTAATAAAGTCACTGTGACAACGATTTATTGTGTTAGTTTCCTTATATAAATTAGTTCTAGAATATACTGCCTGGTTCTAGCCTAACAGGTGAGGGTAGGTTGTTTTGGAATCTCATTAGTTAGAGGATATGTACATGATCTGAGTCTAGTTTCACCATCATTTTTTTTTTTTTTTGGTTTTTACGAGACAGGGTTTCCCTGTATTGTTTTGGAGGCTATCGGTCCAGCCCGGCCTCGAACTCACAGAGATCCGCCTGCCTCTGCCTCCCGAGTGCTGGGATTAAAAGCGTGTGCCACCACCGCCCAGCTCATTTTTATTTCTGATGATACAAACAACAAAACAAAACCAATCTCAGGATAGCCATTTATTGCTCCTGGATTTGATATAATTGTCTTTAAATGTAGCTGTATAAAAAGTCTTTTTGTTTGCTTTATTTTGATATTATGATATATTACATCATTTCTTCCTTCTTTTTCTTTTCCTCCCTCCAAGCCTTCCATACATCCCTTTTTGCTGTCATTCAACTTCACAATCTATTTGAATATTGATTGTTACATCATACATATTTCTAAATACATACATATTTTAAATATAACCTTCTCAGTTTGTATAATGTTACTTTCATATATGCTTTCAAGTCTGACCTTGTTGTATTGGATAACCAATTTTTCTCTCCCCAGAGGAAGACTAGTTCTTAGCACACCTTAATTGCCTGTAGGGTTATGTTTTCTTGGAAGTCCCCTGTTTAGTTTGGCATGTCCACTTGTGCTGTCCTTGTTCAACTTATGCTTGTCCAGGCATGATCATGAGACTGGAGTTTCTCACACTACTAGGAAACACAGTCTTACAGCAAATTCTGTGTTCTTCCTTAGAATCTTTCTTCCTAATTTTTCAACAAGGTTCTTTGAGCTAGAGATGTGGGATATATATGCACTAAATTTAACCCTTTAAATTTTTTTATTTATCTGATGCAGTAGTGTTTTGCCTGCGTGTGTGTATATGTAACAAGTGTGCACATTGTCCTCTGAGACTATAATGTTCCCCAGGGACTAGAGTTAAAGAAGATTATGAGCATCTAAGTGAATGCTGAGGACAAAACTAGTCCACCTGAAAGAGCAGTAAGTGCTCTTTAACTCCCTTATCATCTGTTCAGCCACATACCATGTCTTTTTGGAGATAATGGACAAGGTCTTTGCTAGATATTCATTTCACAAAAGACACACTTGAGTCCATTGTGATATAACATTTCCTCAGTGTATGTGTGTGTGTGTGTGTGTGTGTGTGTGTGTGTGTGTGTGTAGCTAGTACTCATTGTTCAATATCATGGCATATTCTTTGAAATTACTTCTAGTCAGAGTAGATCCAAGTAGCACCTCCTCTGTCTCCATATCTGTTGACTTATGTTTCCTCTTTTTTCTGATAATATCAAAAGCTCTCTGAGAACAGGCTAACTGAAGGTATCCACCTTATAAGTGACCCTTACAAATAGTTATGAAGTGTAACTTTAAGGTTCCCGGTTCTAAATACCTTTGCATGATGGAGATTTCTTTCTTTGAAGCCAATATCATTTACCTCTATAGTCTTTGAATTGTGCAACCTGCATGAAGATAAAAATAATCCAAAGGTTTTTAAAATTGTGAAATATTATCATTTTAAAATCTGCTTTTATTTGGAACTTAAACTCATCCTGACAAATTTGGTCTGACAAATCTTCAAATTCAGAAACACCAGACCCCTTTATTGTATGTCTGTTCAATAATACCTTATTTATACTGTTCTGGGAGGAATTTCCGGTTGGGATCAGGAAGCTATGGTTATATGGAAAAAAGGACATTGCACTGGAAAATTTGTTGAGCTGCATCTTGCTCTTGTTTAGCCACTGAAGTATGATCCTCCCAAGGTTGTTTCATTTCTTTGACCATTGCCTTCAATTCAAATGTGGTTCACATTTATGTACTAATGGCGCTTAGGAATTGCTGTGAGCCTTCTTTAATATAATATGGCGTGTTATTGTTTTTATGGCTTTAATATGATTATACTGAGTACCATGGGTGATGTTTCTTCAGCACCTGTTTGGAAGAATTAAACATTGCTGTATCACAACACACACACACACACACACACACACACACTAAAATCGAAGTAGCTGAAGCAGAAAGAAACTTAAATGCAAAGTTCTAGACCTTATTGCTTATCTACCAGCACACACTAGGGATGCTGTCGTGACCTCTCCCACATTTAAATTTAAGAAGGAAAGATGAAAACAGCACTGCATCTGTTAATACTCTCATGTCAGGACAGATTCCAATTTCATCCCTCTTTATTTACAGACCAACTTCTAGGAAATTAATGCTGGTGCCTGGGTGTGATAAGGAGGCTCAGAGCTTGAAAAGGAGCCCATTCGTGAGAGCCCTGTGAGCAATGCTTGGATATATGCGTCGTCGTTAAGAAATTTCTGTCTCTCCCACATACACCAAACCCCTTGCAACACCCACCCTCACTGCAGCACTGAGAAACAGCCTGGATGTGGGGTTATTACAGAAGTAGCCACTGAGGGGAGCCGGCGCAGGACTGCCCTCCCACGTTGCTATGACAATGAGACTGGCGGGCACACAGCCTTCAGAGCTAAGTGCTGGCTAAAGCAGGTGTCAGGTTGCGATGAGCTAGGTGGCTCCAGGATTACTCAGAGCCATAGGAGTCTCTGGAAAGTGGGGCTACTATTCTACTGCATCCCTCTTGGACAGCTTCTTAACTCCACCGGAACCCGCAGAGTGAAAATGGTCCACCACTCAGGCTCGATTCAGTCCTTTAAACAGCAAAAAGGTCAGTGAGAATTCTCTCCCTCCTCCCTGCCGGGACCACATCCTGATCTGCATTTCCTTGCATTTATGCAGGAGCATCCTTTCTACCTGTGTGTTGAACAGCTAAGGGACTTTGTAAAGTTAAGACCCCATTTTATAGATGTCCCACCTTGCGTCGGAGATTAAGTCTGATATCCCAAGCTGCACAGAGCCCGGGAGGGAGCAGAATCGTAATGTCAGGACTTGTTTGTATGTCTCCTTCAATGCATTGCAGTGAACTCTTTGAAATGAGAAGGTCCCTGCAGAACGCTGGGGGTTGAAGACTGAAAATCTGGGTGATGTTTGTTCCAGTGTGCTCTTCTAGTATCGCTTAAGGTTCACAAGAGCAAAATTCATTACTTTTGCTGAGCTTGAAAAATTGTATGATAAATGAATTTATGGAAAATCCCAGAAGTTTGCCGGTCCCAGAGGAAGGAACTCTGTAATTTTTTGGAAAACTTTATCTTCCGGTCACATGTATGATTATGGATTTCCTATTTTTATAGTTATTGGGTTTTTCTTCCAGGAACTTCCCGCATATCTTTTAGCTTTTACAAATTTCTTACTAGTTGCAAGATCAGATCAAGAATTATTAATACTCTGTACTGTCGTCTTACCTATTTAAATGGCTTTTTATAAAGCACAGATTTCTTTGAGAGACACAGATTCTGGGAATTTTGTTGTCTGGTGTGTTTATTCAGCATTAATGGCATTGAATGAATGAATGGTGGTAATTATGTCATATTTGCTCATATAGTGGCTAAAATATGCAATTCTGAAGTAGTACATTTGTTCATTAAAATAAGTATTTATTGAAACCTTATTACTCCCCGTCTAACACTGCTAGTGTTCCTTCTCTGAAACCTTGTATAATCCCACAGGAAAACTTAGTAGGAATTTATTCTTCAGGCAAAATATTGTGCTAAAGGAGCTTCCAGCCAGGAACCATAATCTGCACAAACTCACATGCTTCAATGTATTTTGAATGTATGTTGGAATTGTGGATGAAGTGAGACACTGTAGGAGTAGCTTGAAATTTGGTCTTCTTTGCAGTTCTATTTAATCTCAAAGAATTCCAAAGAAAATAAAACTACTTCAAGAAGTTTTGTTTCCTTACATCGTTAAACACATATAAGCATTCAGAATAAAAAGAATGAATAGGAACCTTGAAATTGCCTCACACTTTTATGTTCTAATGCTTTGGGAGACCCAGAATATTTCTGTTATGATACGTGTTGTATGTTAGGAAGAAAAGAACCATCAACTTTGAAGTTGGTTAGTGTCTCTTTGATAATGCACTATGAGCCAGTTATTTTCAAATCTCACATTTTGGCGCACACACGACCGCCCCCCCACAGAACATCTTTAGCAAAAACGTAAACATGAGGAAATGGACTGCCCCAAAAGAAGCAATATTCACTTTAAACTTAAAGTTAACACTTTATTTCATCTGTTTTTCTCCCTCTAGTCCCTCCAGGTTCCTTTCCATCAATCCTTCCATGACACTTGCCTATGTTCAAGTTGATAGCCCATTTTACTTTGTTATTGTTACATTCATATGTCTATTCATGAATATATAAATACGACCTTTTTAGTCTATTTTATTGCTTGTGTTTATATAGTTTCAAGACTGACAACTCTTTCTTAGACAACCAATAAGAGGTCCATCTCTGGGAGAGTCTAACTCTTCTCCCAGCAGACATCATTTGCTTATAATTCTTTGTCTAGGGTAGGGCCCTACTAGGAAAAGAAAACCCACATTAAGGATCAGCTATTTTAATTTTTTCAGTAGGAAGAAGCATGATGACACTTTGTGTGTCATCTGATCTGGACGTATTTTCCAGTGCTAGTTACCACAACATTGCATATTAGAGTGACAGGTGTATTTTGTACTGATATTCTGGAGTCTTAAATGCTAGATTTGCCTTTGGCACTAGATGAACAATTCTGGAAAGTGTTTATTCACTTTTGATACTGATTTATGATACTGATGAACACTTGATTTCTGACTTTCTATTCTCCCTCTCCCTGCTAATTATATATTTAATGTTAAATAGATACACTGAGGGTTTTCATCATACTTCTACCCATACATATAATATACTTTATTTATGTTGTCATCTTTATATACTTTATTCCTCTTTCTTATTCTCCTTTCTCTTTCCAGTGTCTTATACTTACATGGTAGTTGCATATTCTTCTATCACTCCACTCTCAACTTCCACATACGATAGAAAACACACAATATTTATATTTGTGGGACTGGGTTTTTTAACTTCTCCTGATATCCAATTCCATTATTTTACTGCAAACAACCTAATTTCATAAATCCATAAATTTTGTATTTTCATTCATTCATAGATGGGTACATAGAGTTATTTCTTGGCTTTGTTATTGTGAATAATGCTACAATAAAAATGGGTATGCTAGTAGTCCTACATTAAGGTAACTTTCATCCTTTTGGATAGAAATGGTATATTAGGATCATTTATTTGGGAAATATCTATACTTGTTCACCCCATGATTACCTTTTTTCTTCTGTTGGACAAGACAGGCAGTTAGCTATGTGGAGCCAAAGATTTTTTTCTTCTGATCTATAAAATGAAAGCTCTACTTTCATTTCATGTTTAGGAAATTTTTTTAGTTTAGTGAACCAATTGTGCCATTTAATTTTAATTTATCCAAGTGAATTCAATATCTGTTAAAAAGCATTACTGACCACCCTGAATACTACAATCAACGAGGAGTCACATTCTTGGGAGAAGCTAATTCTCCTTATTCCAGAAGTCATTAGTTGTCTGTAGTTCTTTGTCCAGGAAACACAGAATGAGTTGTCATCACTCATTAAGAACTAAATATTCATGGATACTGGTTAAATATATAATTATACCTTTGTTAATCAAATCAAATCGCTGATAATGCTCATCCTAATTAATAAAACCAGTGGAGATGGCAGAGTAGTTATCCAAAAAGAATAATTATTAACTCAAAGTCTCCATTACCTGGTATAAAGCAGTGGTTCTCAAGATGTGGGTCACAACCCCCTTTGAGGTCATATATCAGATAAACTGCATGTCAGATGTATATATTATAATTTATAACAGTAACAAAATTATAATTACTAAGTAGCAATGAAATACTTTTACAGTTGAGGGTCACCACAGATCAAGGAAGTGTAATAAAGGGTAACAGAATTGGAAAGTTGGAGGACCACTCATCTATATTTTTCTCTTTTTGTCCTGCACATTAACGTTACATGTGCTGCATACAGCTTTAATATTGTTAAGTCTGTTCATGCTTGTTTGAAATGAACATAATATCAATGAACAATATTGTAATAGAACTACAAATCTGTGTGGCAGGTAGTTGGGATTCAAAACTTAGTGATTGCCAAAATATTAATTATTATCATTTCTAGGCTTGCCTATCTTTTTATTGACATAGTAGGAATATAAGATGCCCTCATCAGGACACACACAGACACATACATGCACACGTGTACGCACGCACACACACACGCTCACACACACTTATTTTCCTTTTCTCTATTTTTACTTCATTTGGTTTGGCTTTTGGGGCAAACAGTGGGATCTGGGCATTATAACAATTTTCCTTTTTGATAGTATCCATTATAATCACATGCTCTAACTAATTAGTGTACTGCCTCTGAGGAAGTTTTAAAGTTTTCATAAAGAAAATTCAGATGAGCAATAAACCTCATACATTAAAGATTGCAATACAATGATATGGTATTTATTCTTTCTATACTCAACCGACATTTATGTAGTCATTGTTTGCATCGTGATAGTGTCATTCAGAACATTTTCATTCCTGAACATCTTACAAAAATAAAAAAAAACAAACCTACATACAAAAACTCCTTTTCTCTGAAAAGTTGATTTAATAGGAAATTTGAGAGATCTGCCGAGCCTATGCCTATGAGAATCACTGACAAGTCTGCATTTCAGTCGTATTTACATTTTGTTTCTCTATTTTCTTTTTACTGATTTTTATTTAAATTAAAAACAATCTTAGTTTACATACCAATTCCAGTTCCCTCTCCCTCTTGTCCTCCTACTCCCCCTACCATCTCCCCATCCCAACCCCCCATCCATTCCTCAGACTTTGTGAGATTTTGTTTCTTGAAAATGCTATTAGAGTTTCTACAGAGATCAACAATGTACTTTTAATTTTTTTCTGCTTAAAGTACTAGATTGTCTTATGAAATCGAGAATCTTCAGCAAATATGAGAAATACAGGTAATTTCCTTACTTCTGGTGTTACCAAGGTATATTGAAGTATTTATTATTGCAGAAAAATAGGAGTTATTACTTTAGCACACCTAAGAGTAGGCAACTTAGAATTGGTTTCCAGGTAAAATCTAACTTTGTTCCCTAGGCTAGGATTCAAGGAGCCCATGATTGATTAATATGTCATACAATAATGGATGAGAAAAGAACAATGATAGTTCTGGCTTCTCATGACTGTTTATTTAGCAATATAGCTACCAAGATATTCAAGGAGGACATAGGTTACATTAAACACAGCCTGTCTCAATCATCTTGGGTTTAATAAGATCAGTTAAAGCTGTGAGAATTTCATTAAAAATCCTAAATGGCATTTGGTTAAACACAAATGTAATATTTTTAAATAGTTCTCCAGAAGGAAACATTTTTGTACCGAGATTAACTGTTTAATTATAATGATTTTAATGTTTATATGGAGATCTGAAGACTGAAAATAGCACCCATTCTCTTTTTCACTATCATGAAAGGCATCACCCACCTTGGCAAGTGGATGGGACATGGGATGGGGGATTGGTGGGGAGAATGGGAGGATGGGAGGGATAGGGAAATGAGACTGGTATGGAAAATAATACTGTTTTTGATTTACATAAAATTTGTATAAAATTGTTACTGCAAATGCCTATCTGCAAGCCTCTTCCAAATTCAACTGTGTACTCAGTTCTTGCATCATGACACA